AGCTGATATTGAGCTTCTCCAGCGGTTCTTTCCACATATGTAATCAATCTGATTCCTATGCATATCATCAGGTGAAATCCAGGTATATAACCTGCGTTTATGCCTCTTAAAAATGTATTTGCTATGAATTATACTATTGCTTATTATGTGCCATTGAGTCAGGGTAGACTCATAACTGAACCTCAGATTTTCAGAGATAAATCACACAAGAGGAGATTGCTTATCTTTCTTCCAAGAGCAACTAGTGGATTTGAACCACCAGCATTTGTACTGGCAGCAAAACTCCTCATCCACTAGGCCACCATAGCTCCCTAAGATAAATATAGCAGTTCTAAGTTCCAAAGCAGAAAGGTCTGCTTAGAACTCTGACTATTACTGGCCAGGTGACTATGGAAAGCCAATTCATCTTCCCAAAATAATAGTATCCTATCTGCATTGTGGAACTAATAAGAATATCTACCTCATTAAGTCACAGTGATTGTTAAATTAAATATGTGTGTAAAACTTAGCCCATGGCTATTGTTGTTATGTATCATCAAATTAGACCCTCCAGTGGGTTTTCAAAGGCCATAAATCATACAAAAGGAGATTACCCATCCTTCTTCAACATTGCATAATAATAAATACTACAGAAATGGCACTTTGTGCTGGGGATGATTATAGTGGTGATCTTCTGAGCTGCAAGAGGTAGAAATTATATTAACAAAATTGTCTACATGATGCTGTCTGAAGAACTTCTTAAGGCTATATCCACTAACACAGTATCTTGATTTCTATATCAAGATTAAATTCCTGAATTATTTGCTTATAAGCACAGACTCACCTGCATATTCCAATGATACAAATATAATTTTCTATGTGTGCCATTGTATGGAAAAGGTTAGAAAACACTTTTCCTATATGTCTAAATTCTGAGTTTTAGATATACGAACAAATTAAGTATCAAAGACAAAGATATTCTCTTAGAAGATTCCCAGTACAGATGTTTTATTGAGTAGTAATATTTATCAGTCACTGTGAAAAAAAGAATTGGTTGAAATTCAACCATTACAGGAGGTAGCGAATGATCAAGGACAGTTAAACTGAAGAAAGAAGTCGTAACTGTACTGAATCCATTAACAAAAAATAAAGCTTCCAGAATTGATCAAATACCAGTTGAAATGTTTCAATAAATGATGCAATGCTGCACCACTCATTGTTTTATGCTGAGAAATTTGGAAGACAGTTACCTGGCCAATTGACCAAAAGAGATGTGTAGAATTTTAGCCCTGTGGACAAGAGAAAGGAAAAATGCTTAGATTAACATTGTGTTAATACACACAATAAAATGAGAATAATGGCAAGGTAGCTAAAGGAAAGAAAGGCACAGAGCTGGTGACTGATTTTATAGATGGAAAGTTGTGGAATGTTTGTAAGCTTTTCTCTCAATGAGCTAACTGATCTAGTGCCTAGCTGACTTGACAGAGGTCATTCAGCTAGTTAATAGCAGAGTCAATATTAAATAACAGGTCTTTTAATTCCAAAGCCATTGTTCATAAAATTATCATATTTGGTCATTTGTCACTTTTAAAAGAATGTGGTTGTATTTAAAATATTTTTTAAAATTCAAAATGCCATAAGGGAACTTCTACCACTATGTTCTTTGTACACATGCTAAAAAGTACAATAACTTCACTAATTCACATTCTAAAAATAGTCTGAAAATTTTTCTGATGTTTAATTTATTTGACTATATAGTCAAAATTTTTGTGCTTCCTGGAAAACAAAATGTATTTGATATTGTGTATGATTTAAAAATATGCTGTTTTTCTCTGTGGTTACAGCACCAGTACAAGCTTTGAAAGTGGGGCAAACAGTGAAGATATTAAGAAAGCCAGTGTTCTATTGATCCGTAAATTGTATATACTTATGCAGAACCTTGGACCCCTTCCTAATGATGTTATACTTACTATGAAACTTCACTATTATAATGATGGTAGGTAGAGAACTTTAGTCTAATTCTTTCTTTAGTGATGGACTACTATTTTATATACACAGAATAGTATCTGACACATGTCTGTTGCTACAAATTGAAGGTTAATCTGAGTTCTATTCTTTAATGACTTTCTGCTCTTTTAATTTTGCAGTGACCCCATATGATTACCAACCTCCTGGTTTTAAGGAAGGAGTGAACTCACACTTACTACTGTTTGACGGGAACCCTGTCAACCTGAAAGTGGGCTTGGTCTCCACTGGCTTTCACAGCATGAAAGTGAAAGTCACCACTGAGGCCACCAGAGTGGTTGGTTTAGGATATCAGGAAAACAGCACTACAGAGATCGCCCATCAAGGCCTAGACTGTGAGGAAGAGGAGGAGGAGGAGGAGGAATCCAACAACCATGTAAGGCAATAGATTATAGATTCTCTGTTGTTTCAGTGCAACATAATTTTTTTTCTTTATTAAATTTTATTAGTTTTAATGAACATTTACAGAGATTTTGGGTTTTCATTCATTCATTGTTGCAGTGTTTTCTCCACCCTCCTCCCCATTTTG